TACAGTTTGTACAGTATAAAAACCATTACGCCTATGGAGAGTCCCCGTAAACCACAAATGCAAGTGTGTGTGTGAGAGAGAGAGTGTGTGTGTGTGTGTGTGTGTGTGTGTGTGTGTGTGTGTGTGTGTGTGTGTTTGAGAGCAGGTCTGAACTCACATTAAGAGCTCATAAAGCCATTAAAACACTTTTAATCATTTGTCAAAAGTAATTTTCTTTTTAGAGTCAGCACTTGATTAAAAACAACATTAATTCAGATTAATTGGTCCCATAATGGAATAACTCCTCAAAGGTTGTTCAATTAAGCTGAAGATGATGAAGGTGTGATTGTGTTTGAGTCGGTCGTGTGTTTTCTCTCTGCAGGACCGATGCAGGAGACCGTCATCGACTTCTGGAGGATGGTGTGGCAGGAGAACACGGCAACCATCGTCATGGTGACCAACCTGGTGGAAGTTGGCAGGGTGAGTATGAAAGTGTGTGTTTGTGCGAACATCTGCATCACACATCATCTGCACTACAGCTGTTTGCTGAGAATCTCACAAAACCACAGCATCATCTCTGAGTTACATTCACAATCATATCAAGCCGCATGTATTTCTATAGCGCTTTATACAATACAGACTGTTTCACTGTAATAAACAGGAAAATAAAAGTGTTGATGTTGCAAGGTTCATCAATTATGAAACAAACTCTGTTTCAGCTGTAAAGCAGCTCTAAAGAAGACAATAGAGTCATTATTCAGATCAGTTCTGTTCAATAACCAGTGGTGAACAGTAGTAGAGTTTGTGTGTGTGTGTGTGTGTGTGTGTGTATGCATGTGCTTGGGTGTGTGTGTGTGTGTTTGGCTGGTGTCTGCAGTTCAGATGAGTGTGTGAAATTGACTCCCGCAGGATCACTTGCAGAGTAAATGATGCATTCTGGGCTTCATCAATGTGAAGTGGTCAGAAACTGATCAATGAAGCTCATTATCAGACAGAACAGCCCAAACCGCCCAGTCTACAGACAGACTAGAGTTTCTGACAATTACATTTCATCCTTTTAAATAATAAAACATTTGTTTATTTAATGCTGTGAATGAGTTTACGTATTTCATCATTGGATATAGACATCTTTGAAATCAGCTCATTTAATTAGTCATTAGCAGCTTGATCCATTTAATTATTATTAAAGTTCAACATGTTTAAAAGTAGACCTGGATGCAGTAAGACTGAATAAACCTCATCATGACAGTTATATAAAGACTCATAATTTGATTGAATCGTTTGCTCATATACAGTAGATCTGTAGAGGATGATTTCTGCTCATACATTTCAATCAAAGCCTTGCTCCTAAAATATGAGTTAAAAACTCAAACATTCAGTCCTAATGCTCATTTGTCATTGCATTTGTTAATCATAATAATGTCGTTGATTCTAACGGTTGACTGATGCCGGATCAGAACGGATGGCTTTGATAATGCTGTTGAACAGAGCTTCAGTTCATGGAGGCTGTGATCAGTCGTGGATCTCCTCTGGTCCAGCTGTGCAGATGTGTGGTGCCGGTCTGTTATATGATGCTGATCTAATGTGGGCTCGAGCGGCGCTGCTTCCCTGCAGAGACCCATAAACCCACCGCCGCGCTCCACTGACATCCATCTGCAACCACACTCAGCTCAGGAATTCTGGAGGAAACTATCTATCTATCTATCTATCTATCTGTCCTTCCATCCAACCATCCACTGTTAATCATATGTCATACGGCATCTTTATTTCTGTCAGGGTCTGGCGTCTGGTGTTTCTCCCTCTCACCACCAGAGGTCGCCATTTCCCATCCTCCCGGACTCCTTTACCTTAACTCCACACACCTGTGCACTTTCTCACACACACACAGCTGTTGCCCATCCTGATGGCTATTTATACTCCTTCCCCACGCCTCTCTGGGCTAATTATTAGTTGTGATATGTGGACTGATGCAAGCACTAAGTTGCCGATTTTGTGTCATATACCTGTTTGTGTTCTGAGCCTGTTGTCAGGTTCTTATATCTGTTTGTGTTTCCGTTTTGGTTTTTACTTTGTTTTCCCTCACATAAATAAAGACCTGCATTTGGACCCAGACCCTTGTGTTCCCTTACCGCGCCGTGACAGAATAATCAGCCAAACATGGGTCCAGCAGGAAAGTTCCTCAACATCCGCCAGGCAGACCGGTGCATTGAGGATTACGC